TCGGGCGATATCGGTAATGTACCGGGACCACCGGGAGGGTCCCGGGGGTCCACCAAGTGGGGCCACCTGCCCCAGAAGGCTGCGTGGGCCAAGTGTGGGAGGGGACCAGCCCCTAGGTGGGCTGGGGTGCCCCCCACCAAGGCCCAAGGCGTGGGAAGTGTAGGGAGGGGCAAACCCTAGGTCCAGATGGGCCTTAAGGCCCACCTAGTGGGCGCCCCCCTCTCTCCCTCCCTTGGCCGCCCCCCTAGATGGGATCTAGGGCTGGCCGCCACCTCTAGGGGGTGGAAACCCTAGAGGGGGCGCAGCCCCCACCTTCCCCCTATATATAGTTGAGGTTTGGGGCTGCAATACACATGAGAACTTCTCCCTCTATTGGTGCAGCCCTGCCTCTCCTCCTCCTCCTCTCCTGTGGTGCTTGGCGAAGCCCTGCTGGATTGCCACGCTCCTCCACCACCACCACACCGTTGTGCTACTGCTGGATGGAGTCTTCCTCAACCTCTCCCTCTCTCCTTGCTTGATCAAGGCGTGGGAGACGTCACCGGGCTGTACGTGTGTTGAACGCGGAGGTGCCGTCCGTTCGGCACTAGTATCTCTGGTGATTTGGATCACGACGAGTACGACTCCTTCAATCCGGTTCTCATGAACGCTTCCGCTTAGAGATCTACAAGGGTATGTAGATGCACTCTCCTTCCCTTGTTGCTAGTTTCTCCATAGATAGATCTTGGTGACACGTAGGAAAATTTTGAATTTCTGCTACGTTCCCCAACACATTATGCCATTATGCTTTCATTATGCCATTATGCTTTCATTATGCCATTATGCTTTCATTATGCCATTATGCTTTCATTATGTAGGTGTTACCATATTGGTGTTATGGAAAAGACGAGTCCTGGGCGACATTGGTGGATCTTTGGTGTGATGAGGCTGGTGCCTGGGCAGCTATGAGAGTCAAAAACAAGACTAACCGAGGGAAGGAGGGAGTACATGCTCAGGGGAACCGAAACCACTATCTCCACAAGGCAGTTAATGTATGACTAACCCCATTAAACATTCTTCTTCTTCTTCTATTTACCATCACTTTCTTATGTATGACTAACCTCTATTTGGTGGTGTAGGAGGAGAAACTGAAGCGGCCGCTCTCAGACATGCAGGCGTGGGAGATCGCCCATACGCGGAAGGACTCCAAGCCTGGCGAGCCCAAGTACTACGGCAAGAAGACCGCGGGGAGGAAGAAGGCCTACTCTGAAGCGTATCTGAAGTTACATCCTGACACACCTGACCCCATTGCGGCGGCTCTGGACGACAGGGCGGTGGTGAGCATGGGGCCCAAGGAGCATGGTCGGGAGGCGGTTCTCGATGCTGTGATCACTCCTACTATCGACCCGAGCCTGAGCCAGCGCACGAGCCAGCCAGTGACCAATGCACAGTCCCTCTTTCAGGAGCAACAATCTGTAAGTATTTTCCCTCTTATCTTCATTGCTCATTTCATTTTCCGCATTTAGTAGTTTTATGAGTTCCATCATGTCATACCGTAGGCCTACCTAGAGTACACACGCCAGGAGACCATGGCATTGCATGGGAGGCTTTATGAACACCAAGTGGAGAGGGATCGCCAGATGAATCAGGCTTTTCAGGATATGGCAGACGGCAGGAGTCTTCAGTTGCCGCCAGCACAATGTCCTCCAGCAAAACCAGTGCTACTAACCTTTGAGGAGTTTGTGGCACAGAACGCTGGCCCCTCGCCAGTTAGTTCATCCCCAATCTATTCACCCAAAGCATGTCTGGCCTTTCAACACAGTCATATATCCCGTTAATATGTCTTTTCAACATCCAGGGAACAGGTGGATCTACCGTTGGCGGTGGTCTTCGCAGCACTCCGGAGACACGGAGCCCGACCACTCCGATCCACAGAGGCGGAGGCGGAGGTGGTCTTGGCGGTAGCGTTGTCGCTAGCAGTGACGACCTGGGCTTCGGCGATCTTGGCGGTGACGACCTCCGCGGTGCTCGACGTCCTGGCGCTTAAGCCTTGTGTGTGGTGATGATGCTTGAGATGACTTGTGTGTGGTGATGATCATTTAGATGACTTGTGTGCTTTTCTATATGCTTTTGCTTATGTTGGTTGTGATGATGATCATTTAGAGACTTGTGTGTGATCATGCTTATGCAATTATTGTTGTGATGATGCTTATGCTTACGTTCGTTGATATGTGCTGATATGTGTTGTTATTTGAATTGAACTGATTTGAAAACGAACAGAAAAAGAAAAAAAATCAAAAGCAAACTATGCCGACGGCTATGCCGTCGGCATAGGGCTGGCGTGAGCTCCCAGTAGCTGACACGTGGAACCTATGCCGACGGCCCATCCGTCGGCGTAGTTTTTAAGCTAAGCCGAGGGCTAGGCCGTCGGCATAGGTTCCATGTGTCAGCTGCTGGGAGCTCTGTATGAAGGAGTATGCCGATGGCTAGGCCGTCGGCATAGTTTGAAACTAGACCGACGGCCTAGCCATCGGCATAGGGGTGCCACGTGGCGACCTGACGTTGGGCAAACTTGACGGCGTCCACCATTAGGCGTGATCGTTGCCGACGGCCGGGGCTGTCGGCATAGATGTACGGCCCCCGTCGGCGTAGCATGTATGCCGACGGCTTTTCTATGCCGACGGCCACCCTGGCTGTGCCGACGTATATGTTGCCGACGGCCCTATGCCGACGGGGGCCGTCGGCATAGGTATATCCCGACGGGAATCAGGGATATGCCGACGGCCCTGTCCGTCGGCATAGGGGGCGATTCCGGTAGTGAATGTACTTGTCCATTATCTTCCTTGAATCAGATGCAACTATATATACACACATGTTGATGATTTAAGGAGTCAGTCAGAAGACAAGGGGGAAGTAAAACGAGGATATGTCGAATCTGCCTGTGAACGAAAGTACTATAATCCATTTACATAATCATAGACTCTGTAATTGAACAGATTAAAGAAACAATCTTAGTAATGTAGCTCCTGTGACATTTCACAAAAACGGCATTTTTCTACACTTTGAGTACAAGATTTCCTACAGAAGATTTGTGCTGAAGCTTGAAACCCGTAAAACAAAAGACAAGACAAGCAAATAAGGGTTAGAAACCAAAGCTCTAAGAACCAGAATTCAAAATGTGATAATCCTATGATGTTGAGCTGCGCATCTTAGCACATTGGAAAGTGTCTCTCACTCTATGAATATAATTTCAAAACACGATTTTAGTCTGCAAAACAATCAGAATCAGGTCAATGGAACAATGGCATCTGAGATTTTTTTTTCGAGAACGCAACGGCTCGAGATGGCATCTCAGTTCGGTCTAGGAAGCATGCGAGGCAGTGAAAATTGGTGAGCCGCAAATGCGTGAGCATCTAGGGCGTTCTCCCTCTTTATGTAAGTCAAGGCCGGCAGGCGGCCAACGATTCCACCATTTAGTACACAGTATATATAGTGCATTTAAATGAATTTTTATCCACCATAACATATACTCCCTCCGTTCTAAATATAAGTCTTTCTATGGATTTCAATACAAACTACATACGAATGTATATAAACATATTTTAGAGTGTAGATTCACTCATTTTGCTTCGTATGTAGTCCACAGTGGAATATCTAAAAAAGACTTATATTTAGAAACAGAGGGAGTAGTACTAATTATATTACCAGAAATCCAGTGAACAAATTTCAACACATCTACACATATTTATATTGAGCTTTTCGACAGAATTTGAAACATCCTAGATGTCTCCTTACTAATTAACTCCCCTTTTTTGGTTTGATTATTCACGCCTCTATACAAATCAATTTGGTTTACTTTTCGCAATATTGGTATCTTCAGACCCAAATAATTAACTCCCCTTAACCGTATAAAGCTCAAATCACTTTCCTCCCAAATTATTTACTTTTCGCAATATTGGTATCTTCAGACCCAAATAACAAAATACTATTACTAAGTAAATTCAAGAGAGGTAATGCACGTAGAAATACTAAGGAATTAAGTGCCCCTTCATGCGTAGACTGGTAGTAGGTTTTTACAAAATAAAAATTGCACTACATACATAGATATCAGAGAATTTGAATCTGACATGCATCCTAACAAGAGAAAAAATATCCCCAAACTCACATGGGTAAGCAAATTAATTGTGGATACGTAGATCCTTTTACGTGTGCATAGAAATAGCAATATAAATGAATCAACCAAGCCCCAGCATGCTGACCTTATAGATGACTGCAAGGAATTGTTTCTCTTGTTTCATTGTGATAGTGGATAGGATCGTCTCCTTTCTAGTGCCTACAAAGCAAAGACCAATTGACATAAGATTGGAAACATGCTATGCCGCTAAAAAAGTGAGCTAGACGGGGTTGCTGACGGCAGAGACATGCTATATGTACCAAGTATGTAGACTGTAGTGAAGAAATGCATCATGTTTAACACCAGGACATGCTATGTATTAAGTTGACATTAATAATTTCGAGGCAGGCAAAATTCAAGAAAAAATCTGCGTGAATCTGAATTGCACACTAAATGATTCAGAATTGAATCTAAGAACAAAACTAAGAGTGGTCCTCCATCTAAACAATCCAGAAGTACTCGTTAAACTGGAATTATTTATCACCTTCACTTAGCCATAGTAATTCTGAAGACTGAATTTCAGAAACAACAATTCTAATAATCATTACAAGGGAAATTACCCATATTCTTGTTTGAGGCTATCGGTAGTAAGACTGGCGGGGTTTCCTCTATTTTTATTTCTTGGTGAAATCCGACTATCAACTCTCGATGAGGATAATTGGAAGTAGCTAACCAGCAGACTCGTAGCAACAACAATGTGAAGTTTATGGATATATGACATTTCTCATTGCAATTAATGCCACTAAATTTATTGATCCATCAAAATCATGCATAAGTACAAAATAAAATGAATCTGAGTTGAGGGGAATAAGGATCAAACGAAAGAATGAATGGATCGCGCACATACCATTCATAAGTTCTTCTCTCGTTGGAAATGGAACCCAGTATGCGTCGCTGCAGCATCCTTCTCTTCGGTGCCGAGGAACCCCATTTGGCCATTAACTCCGGTGCCACCCTCAACATCTTCTATAACATGTATGTTTCCACCACTGACATCTTCTTCGCCAGCTCAGTCACGAAGCCCTGTCCACCATGTTTCATTTTGTATTACATTACTCTCACATATCACACATAGTACTATTCAACCATGCATATCAGTGAAAATATAGGTATGGATCTCTATTACAACAACAACTACACACTTTTTCCAGAGTGACTTATATATATGCTTGCTACAACTATCTTCTATACACCACCCTTGCTCCAGAACCGGCTGCAGTCTCAAGTTCCTTCTCCCACTAACCACCAGTGTCACAATTTTGTTGTGGTTATTCTGAATAGCTGTCGTTGTCTCCCTCTGAGACTTGTGCGTGAGAAGAGGCGACCCGTTGAACATGCATTGTTATACGCCAGGCAAGAAATCTCCGCACTGCACCACGCACCACCGACCACAATGTCATGTCCATGATCAAAATTAATAAGTGTTCTTGGCTCCCAGCCTTGGCCAAAAACTGCCACCAGAACACCATGTGGTCTCTTAAGAGTCGGGAAAGATTCTGGGGAAGCACCAGGACATACCTTCTACATCTCAGTGGTCGTGATGGGTGGCGTTGATCTCGTCGCCCCCTAGCAATGGCTCCATGGAGGGTTAGGGATTTTTCGGAGCGTGCTTTTCCATTGGATGAGATGTGTGCCTCCCTCCCGTGAGCTTGCGACAATGCGCTCGTGACCGTCGTCCTCCACGCGTCATTGCCACATGAAACTGAATGAAGAAACAGTAAGCATATTGCTTCATGAAAAATCAAATACTATTGCAACTAAATGTATAACACAGTAATGAGAGTTTTGAGGTTCTTGTGTGTATAGTCAGCTGGCAATAAGGTACAAATATATTCTTCTTTCATCAGTTTCAAGTTTGTAGCACTGACAATACTTTTAAGCCACTGACTATTATAATCTATGAAAGAATCCTCCTGAGCAAACAAACTCGGGCCATATGAGTCTATTTTATTTTTTATTTTGTAGGAAACCATGTAAAGTCCACTGATATTTGATAGTTGAAAAATTGGAAACTAAACATTAGCATATTCTAGGGGACCAACACAAGTGAGATATGTGGCCAGCGGTAAAGAGTATTGACCACTCAAAACATAAACAAAATTGTTCAACCTGATGTACCTGGAAATTATCGGCGTGAATAAATGTCACTTTAAAAAATAGCCTTGAATTTTTCTATAGTTAATTGCCCGTGCGATGCAACAGAGACATACATATTTGAGTGGTTCAACGACAATCGTCCTATAAATCTTCCCTCCCTCTCTGATCTTCCTCTCTCTACATATATGCCCATCTCCCTTCCTCCTATCTCCCTCTCTCTACATATATCCCCATCTTCCTTCCTCCGGTCTCCCTTCCTTCCACCCTCTCTCGCTCATTGTAGGCGTCACAGGGGACAGACATTTTGTAAAGTGCTAATAATTTCCAAGGACCATTGTTCGCCTACATCTATAGCACATGCCTCCCTTCCTCCCACCCACTCTTCCTAAGGTCTTCCTACCTTCCTAAGGTCTTCCCACGACAAATGAAAGGGAACAGAGAAGTAGCGGAGGTTTGCTTCAGATATTCTTCCATTGAGATACCATGCTGAACGGAAGCTTCTTCGTCGATTCCTGCACCTATATAACAATCATCCAGCATATCAAATAGGGCTTGGTGTTCAGTAAGCAACTGGAAAGGATTAAATGGAGTCCGCCTTTCACGAAGTGCCTACCAATGTATCCCGTCGGATGTCTCTTGCATCAACTCTATAAAACACTTGTAACAAACTTCTTCCCTGCTCAATATATTGGAGCAACTATGCTGCATTTGTAGAAGAAAATGACTCACAAGGAACAATCATTTTCTCTAGATAAAACATAAGAAACAAGTTGTATGTTGACTTACTCCTTTAAATCAAACATGCTCCATGGCATGGCAAAAGTCTTCTTGTTCCTATCAAAACCGCAACCGAGTTGCAGAAGCACTTGGTCTTATCTCGTAATCTAGCAAATAATCAGAACTACCACCAAATGTGACTACCACGGTACCACAATGTTATGTCATGGTATCACATATCAATCCGTCACGAGTCATAAGACAAGAATAATACTATAGCCAAGATCTAAATGGGGCTTCACTGCATCTACAACTGGATTTTAAAAGAAGCATAACTGAAGCATGTTGAATAAGTACAAACGATTTTAAAAGAAGCATAACTGAAGCATGTTGAATAAGTACAAACAGATTCTAATGACGTATATCTGTATATGCAGCAAGTTGAAAAGTAAGAGATGCAGACAGCAAGCAATTGTCAGAGCACTTCAAAATATCATGATTAACCGGCGGCAAATAAATCATGAAACATGGGCTGTAACTTTCAACAAATAAACCAAACATCATAATCTCAGCACCCATCGGCATTGCAGGTGACGACCATGTTGCTGCCCTTGCCATTGTGGTTACGGTCATCCAAATCTTCCTCCTCGTCCTTTGATATAAATAATGCCCAGCATTGTGAACACTGTGACTCGGTTTTGACCTGCATCCATGCGAGTGAGGTTGATCAGAGACTGATCTTGCATGAAAAGAAGAGGAAAACTATGGGAAAAATAGAGGAACCCTAATGAATCTTGTTCACATACATTTGGTGTGTAGATGGATGGTTGCGACAGTGCAACAACAACGCATGCCGGCATCAAACGGTATATTTCTTACAACGATTGCTTGCAAGACTCGGTAGGGCGGAGGAGCCTTGGTGTAGATGGCTACGGTCTGTGTCGGCTATGTTCTTTCCATTAGAGCACGTACGTACGCAGTGGTCGCTAAATGTGCACATTCAGCTCAGAATTCAAGAATCAAGAAATTGTATTACTAATAAAGACTAAATGTGCACATTCCAATGGTGAACTACAAGGATGCTAGTATGCTACTACAACAGAATCGATATTAAATCGGAATTACAAAAGACTGAAGAAATTACTGTTATAAGCACTCTTCGAAAGTTCAGAACCAGATATACTTGCTAAACTTTGTAAGTTCTTAAACTGTATAAATCTAGGATCCTAAATCTTTTTTCGTTGGCCAACACAAACAATCTGCAAACTTAATAGAAAAGAACCCAAAGAGAAGAAAAAAGGCAAACCTTATGTGTGAATCAATGGATTGTGTGCCCGGCAGCCAAGCCACAACCATCCACGCAGATGAGCCTCGTCCAAATTCTTGTACAGTACATTATACGTCCGTTCCATCACGATTGGAATACCCAGACATCAAATAAACGCCAGCCAGCGAGATCCCTAGCCCCCGCCGAGCCGACTGTATCATCACTGTGATCCAGCCAAGGAGCAGCCACGCTTGGCAGGGGAAGGACCACGCCGACGCCATCGACGCATATGAGCAGCGCGCGACCTGCACCCACGGGTCCCATCGCAGAAGATGCCGACGGAAACAGGGACCTGGCCGACATCACCTCCATCATCCCGGACACGGTGTGCCAGGATGGCCGCTATGGGGAGTGGCTGCCACAGACGCGATTCATGCAGAGACGGAAGACGGGGCGCGACAGCGGAGTTGGGAGAGATAGAAGACCGCAGGGCAGCCAGGGGAGGGGGGCGGCGGCAATGATTATGCGTATCCCGGAGTTTGTCGGCAGGTTTTGAAACCACCCTGCCCTGGAGACTTGGCGGCGGCGATTCCCGGAGTTCGGCGGCGGTGACGCCCCAGCTGCTCCAACCCCTCAGCGATGCGGCCCTAAAAAGTATGACTTGTGGGCTTGGACGTGGAAAAGTAGAAAAAAACTCAATATGTGGTGTTTTATCCAGCTAGCAATCAAAAGTGTGCTCTTTAGTCCAATAAAAAGAAAGATGTGCTATAGGAGCAAAGTCCCAGGAAAACACTACCGGAACAGGGCCATACCCCGACGGCCAGAACAATGCCGACGGCCCCCGTCGGCTTCTCCGGAGATATGCCGACAGCCTGGTTCTGGCCGTCGGCGTACAAAGGCCGTCGGGTTACGCAGAGATAAGCCGACGGCACCCGTCGGCATAGAACGGCCGTCGGCCTAGCTACATATACGCCGACAGCTCCCGTCGGCTTACGAAGGCCGTCGGCATACACGTGGGGCCCGGCCACCCCCTGGCAAACGGCGTTAGAGCTATGCCGACGGCCTAGACGGGGGGCCGTCGGCATAGGTCCGCAGGCCACGTCATTGATCCAGGCCGCATCATGCAGAGGCTATGCCGACGGCTGCCGTCGGCATATCTGCCACGTCAGTGATCCGCGGCACGCTGGTCGGATCTATGCCGACGGGCCGTCGGCAAAGTTAGATTTTTTTTCCGTACATATTTTTTAATGCTTTTTTGTGTATTATTATATCAACTAACATGTAGCATGTTAAATATAAACATACATATGAATATATATGTAGTTTGTATTTTTTTCATATATTATGAATATATAAATATATAGTTTGTATTTTTTCGAGCACGTTAATAATGTGCGGTCATGTTCTTTTAAATATAGATCCTTATATTTTATTAAAATCAAAAACAGCTATGCCGACAGAAGTTTTGTGGCAGTTGCAAACGCCCGACACCCGTCTCCAGAGAGTGACCCCCTCACATCCGCGGTGTGCCCCCCCTCACGAAAGCCGCCGCCGCCGGCACCTGGAGGGGGGAAACAGACGCGTCGGGTCTACACGGAGTGGATGTAGCTGTGGTTTTGGCCCGGATGTTGCTCCCGGGTGTCCCTCTGGGCCGACCTAACACAACCGGGTGGAGAGGTCCACTGGTCAAAGCCCGTCCGTGGGAAGTCAAAAGGCTAGATCTCGTGGTCAACCGCTCCAGGGTTAGGCGGGACGGGGGCCCTGGGGGTAGCAATGCCACCGGAGCGTCGTA